AATCTCACTTTGTCACCTGGGCTGGAGTGCAGTGGCACAATCTCGGCTCACTGCAACCTCCGCTTCCTGGGTTCAAGAGATTCTCCTGCCTCAGCCCTCCAAGTAGCTGGGATTGTAGGCGTGTGCCACCATGCCCGGCTAATTTTTGTGTTTTTAGTAGAGACAGGTTTCACCATGTTGGTCAGGCTGGTCTTGAACTCATGACTTCGTGATCCACCCACCTCGGCCTCCCAAAGTGCTGGGATTACAGGCATGAGCCACCGCATCCGGCCCCATTAATATTTTTTAATGCTTCCTTTTGGAAAATTTTCAAAATTCATCTATTTCCAACTGAATTTTAAAAAGGAAATTCAATAGACATTAAAGGCTTATTACTAGTTTTTAAATGTTTTGTTATGGCTACTAACAGGATAATTGAGAAAGGAAATTATGTTTTCATACTTAAGAAAATTTTATATTTAATGGAGGGCAAAAATGATGAAATTAAGTCCTTACCACACAGATATAGATGCCCAAAACAAAAATAAATTACTTGGGATCTGCCTCACAGGCAAAGAGCAATTTATATTGGTCATATACTCAATCTGGTTTTGTAAATAAATTAACCGAAGTCCTAATAATGGCGTTACATTGAAAGCTACTTACTATAGCATTAGCAACTTGAAGCATTTCTTCAAACAAAGAGTCTTCTTGTTTGTGGCGGCCACTTGTATCAACAATAATAATTTCAAAATTTTCATTTTTAAATTTCTCTACTCCTTCAGAAGCAATGATAACAGGATCCATTTCTGTATAGCTATGTAACATGGACAAATGATTTAATAACAATGGCAAAACTTCCAAATATTATTAATTCAGAAATTGTTAGTCTACCTTTAAGCTATTTTGAAAAAGCCAAAATGACCCCGATTTCAATTTGGATAAAGAAAATCTATTAAATATTAAATTCAGAATCTACTTCTAAAAAAGCATGAAGCATTATCTGATTTTCCAATTCCAAAACCCAGTATAATTCTACTACATGTCTTTTCTGAATGAATTGTCTCTCCTTCAAATTTATTTTTTATATCTTCTTTAATAACTGAACTCATGTTCACAGTGTTTCACATGTATTTTTCCATTTAACATCCATTTGGAAGCATTTTATAAAACCAGTAAATATTCCTGTAACAAGCCTGGGCAATATAGTGAGATTCCATCACTACAAAAATTTTAAAAACTAGCTGGCATAGTGGAACGCACATATAGTCCCAGCTACTTGGGAGGCTAAGGCAGGAAGACCACTTGAGTCCATGAGTTCGAGGCTGCAGTGAGCTTACGATCATGCAACTGCACTCCAACTTGGGCAACAGAGCAAGATCATGTCTCTTTAAAAATAACACAGAAGGGAAAAAAGAAAAAATATTTCTGTTAAAACATAACTTTCAAGTTATATAGCATTGTATCAGATGGCTATATTGTTTACTAAATAATGCCCTACCATTAGATATTTCATATTTTTCCAATTTCTTTTAAAAATTTTTTTAAATTTATTTTTTTGTAGAGATGAGGTCTTGCTATGTTGCTCAGGCTAGTGTCCAACTTCTGGGCTTAAGCGATCCTCCCACCTCAGCCTCCCAAAGTTCTGGGATTACAGAGGTGAGCCACTATGCATAGCAGTTTTCCCAATTTCTTGATATTAAAAATAAAGCCAATATAAATGATACATAAATGTTTCTTCTTTGGCACGATGTTATCATACACCCTTATAAGTTGAATTTGGAACAAATGGTATGACCATTTAAGGCTTTTCACTTTTATGAGGCAAACCTCATCCATAAAAGTTTAATCTGATCTCCATTTCACTACATTTTCACAGTCCCTAATAAAATCTTTGTCAACTTGAAAATCAAGAAATGAGATATTTTAATTCGCATTATTCTGATTAGTGGCAACTTTTTATATGCAGATCACTACTGTCAAGTAAAGACATATAACATTAAAAATAAAAGTTTTTCCCCTAAATTAAGATCACCGAAAACAGGTAGAAATACACTTAATATGTGTGTGGTTGGGGACAGTGGCTCAAGCCTATAAATCTAGCCCTTTGAGAGGCTGAGGTGGGGGGATCATTTGAGCCTAGGAGCTCAGGACTAGCCTAGGCAACATAGGATTAAAATAAAATTATATAAAAAAAAAGTAGCGGGGCATGGCCAGGCACGGTGGCTCACACCTGTAATCCTAGCACTTTGGAAGGCCAAGGCAGGCAGATCACCTGAGGTCAAGAGTTTGAGACCAACCTGGCCAACATGGTAAAATTCCATCTCTAGTAAAAATACAAAAATTAGTCAGGCTTGGTGGCGGGCACCTGTGATCCTAGCTACTTGGGAGGTTGAGGCAGGAGAACTGCCTAAGCCCGGCAGGCGGAGGTTGCAGTGAGGCGAGATCGCGCTATTGCATTCCAGCCTGGGTGACAGAGTGAGACTCTGTCTCAAAAAAGAATAGAGTCTAGACTGGATTTAAAAGGACTTATTTGAGGGACTTCTTATTTAAAAGGACTTTTACTTTATGGCTAGCCAAAAAAGCTAGTGAATGGCTATGATATGTTTGTTTTCTTTCAGTCATTTTTTTAATGATTTCTAACAGATTAAAGGGACTGCTTATTTAAAAAGACTTTTACTTCATGGCTAGCCAAAAAAGCTAGTGAATGGCTATATTTTTAAAATTTAATTTGGTTTTCTTTTAGTCATTTTTTTCTTTTTTTCTTTTTTTAAGATAGGGTTTCACCATGATGGCCAGGATGGTCTTGAACTCCTGACCTCAGGTGATCCACCCACCTCGGCCTCCCAAAGTGCTAGGATTATAGGCATGAGCCACTGCGCCTGGCCTCAGTCATTTTTTAAAAGATATTTCTAACAGATTAAAAAAATGTTAGAATTTTCTAACAGATTAAAAAATGTTAGGATTTTTTTAAAGATA